GAGCAATTTCCATAAATATAACAGAAATCACAAACCACTGACTGACTGGCTGAGCAGAAGAGTGCTAATGTGTACCTGATTCGCTCCAGGAGTGAACAGTTCCCTACTGGACAGGCAAAGAGAAATCTTTTTACCTTACCAATGCCACATCTTGTCAGCATTTCAGCAGTCACACTACCAACTCCACCAACACCCACTATGGCTACAGCGTAAGTACGGATTTTCTGTGAAACAAAGAAAGGATACATGTGCTGGTTACTACTCTCCATTTGATTTCTCACCGGAAATTATTCTCGTTTACTGAAATCGAGTTCAGAAGCTTGGGAAGGTGCATCATACCTCATAGTCACTGACAATTCCCATCCGTTTCAGGGCCATCAGACGGCTTAAAGAAAAAAAAAAAGTTTCAGAGCTTTTGCAGTCTTTTCTTCTTATTATTATTTTTTTAATGTGTATGGGTGGTTTGCCTGTATGTACGCTTATACATGCAGAACTGAAGGTACATGCAGTGCCCGCAGAGGCCAGAAGAGGGTGTCAGATCCCCTGGGACTAGAGTTATGGCAGTGACCTGCCATGTAGGTGCTGGGGATCATCCCTGGGTCCTGTGGAAGAGCAGCTAGTGCTCTTAACCACTGATCTCTCCAGCCCCAAGCTTGTAATCTTTTAGTTAACAGTGATATTTATAGACATGCACCATCAAATAAAACAATCACCAAATTCAATTATTACTAATTCAAAAGAGGAGGAATCTAGCTGGACATGGTGGCAGGCATCTGTAATCCTAGCACTCTAGACGCTGAGGCAGGAGGATTAGGAGTTCAAGACCAGTCTGCGGTACAAAGCAAATATGACTATATGACGACCTACTGATCTTAAAAGCTAACTTTTACTAGGTAAAAATAAATCACTGGGTAGGTTTAAAAATATAGATTTTCTTGTATGTAGCCTGTGAAACAGCATTTTTCTCCCTAAAGAACCTTCTTTATCCTAATGTGTAGCTAAGATCTACACCTAATGGCTTAAATGTTAAGGGTCAAAGTGAAATGTTATTATTTTCCCATGCTGTGTTAATATACAAAGAAAATGAAATAAGCTCACACTCTGTCCATAATGGATGATGTCTAGTTTTGGAAACATCTGTTGTATCCCAAGCACTTCAGCTACTGGTCCTCTGCTCTATTACTTGAGTGTGTGAGTGTGTGAGAGTGTGTGTGTGTGTGTGTGTGTGTGTGTGTGTGTGTGTGTGTACTGTGTATATATACATATATAAAATGTGGGTATATTAGGTTTTCATTTGTTTGTTCTTTATGGCACATGTGGATATTAGGTTGTCAGGAAAGTCAGCAGGCCACTGGGCTGACCCCTTTCTTCCCACTTTCAACTCCATGTGATCATATCTATAAATGTACACTATTACAGTATTTTCACCTCTTGCTTTTCAGTCTTCTGAAGATTTTACTTGTAAATGTCCATCACTGCTGCACAAACATTCCTACCCCAGGAGCCTTGGCCATTTTTGGTTAGATCCTAACTGTTCACTGCTGGGTGGGTGCTTTAGAACTTTCCCTCTCCTCCATGACCTCCTTTCCTCAAGACAACGACCATGCTTTCCTTATGCCTCATCTCCTGCATGCTTTCACTTGCTCAAGCTAACTCCAGTAGTTCTCTAAACTTCTCTACAGACATTCACACTCACGAGTTTCCAACTTCATCATCTCAGAGGGTCTCTGGACCCACCACACACATTGCTCTCTTTCTGGAACTTCACCTATGTTAAACTACCCAGTTTTTAGCCACACTGCTTACAGGCTTATTGACTTACTGGGCAGAAACCTCGCCCCACTCAGATTCCTTTGTTTACTACAATCCACTTAAAGAGGCTCTAGAACGCTCACTTTTCTCACCTACAGAATGAGATGGAAATAACAGCAACCCCAGGGCTGTGGCGAGAAGAAAAACATATGGAACTTAAAGGTCTAACTGCACGCTACTGAATGCAGTCTTGTACAAAACTTGCCATGTACAACTGCTGTTTTAAGAACTTCACATAAACTGACTGCTTCAGTCTTTATAACTATGACAGAAACGGGCATTCCTATGGTCCCACTTTACAGGTAGTAACCTGAAGCAGCTTAGCAGCTGTTAGAAGTTACTGGGAAGCTGAGAAAAGAATTCACTCAGTCCTGACGCAGAAGCCTTCCCCTTAACCACACTGCTCTGCATTCTCCCTCATAAATTAGTAAGTCCTTTAGGGAGAGCAAAGGACTGGGGTGAGCAGGCCTAGTAAAGTTGATAATCAGATGTTCCTGAGCCCCCTAGTAACTACCTCTCCCTCGCCTGACAGGCCTTTCGGAAACTAGTCTATCCTTGGCAGCTTTGCATGAGATGTTATGTTCTGACAGAGCTTACTAGCAATCAGCCTTATGCAGAGCGAGGTAGAGTCAAGGGTGACAGGAAACTGGGCACAGGACAGCGGGCACAAGAGCTGCACCATATGGATGCCTGCCTTGGATTTTTTAAATAAAATGTTATTTTTCCTCTGTGCAGGAAAAAGGAGTCTCACTGTACAGAGTACGCTGGTCTAGAACTCATTAAGTAGCCCAGGCTGGCCTGGAACTCGCGACACCCACCACCACCTCACCCTCCCGAATGCTGGGATGAATCGTGAGCCACCACGCTCGGCAAGGGTCATCTTCTGACTAGCACTAAGACGTGGCCTTGCCCACCTAGGAACAGGACCTCCACAGCAAGAAAGGCGCCGCAGGAGGCCGGCTGAACCCCGCGAGGGGAGCGTGGCCCTGCCAGGGATCACCTGTAGGGATTGGAGTCCACCACCTCCGCACTCATCTTCTCGATGCGGGTCCGGGCGCCCACGACCTGCCGGCTTCTCTCCCGGGCGAGTTCTCGTTCCAGCTCCTCAACCCGCTGCTGCAGCCGCTCCACCGACTCGGCCATGGCTGGGCCCCCGGCGGCCTCCGCTCCCAGCCTGGGCCGCCGCCGCCGCCGCCGCCGCCCCACGCTGCTCCGCTGGGCCCACGAAGTGCAAGCAGACTGGGCACAGCCTTCCGGATCCCGATACCCCGGCAAGAGCCTCCAGGCATCCCAGTGAGACACGTCTCCGCCACGCCCTCCGCTCTTCCGGCGCGCCGCTTCCGGTGCGCCGCCGCCCTGGCTCCCCTCGGCAAAAACACTCCTCCAAGCGGTTGGCTTTCTTTTCTAGACCCGCTAAACCAGGCTGCAGCAGGCCAGCGTCATATGTGTCCAGATCAGGGCGACAGCGATTCTGTCTTTCTACTCTAGGAAGCCATGAGGAACACCGAGGTCTTTTCCTCCGGGACCCAAGGTCCTGGCGGACCCTCTTCTTAGCCGGACTACACGGACCTTCCGCCTGATGCGTCATTGAATCTTAAGGTGGAAGATCTCTGCGTCTTCACTCGTCCGAGTGGTGTTTGTCACCTTGTTTTTCGTTATTATTTTTATTTTTTATAAAAATCGAGGCCTCCAGCTCTGACGCTGATAGAAAATTACAAGTTGGGACCCACAGCAAGCGCTTCCGCCAGACCCCAGGTCACTAGAGTCAGCTGCCCACACGGCTTAGCAACGGCGCCCAGAGTTCACGTGATTGGCTTCCGCTAAGCCCCGCCCTGGCCACGCCTCCAAGCTCTAGTGTTTTTTTTTTTCCTCCCGCTGCACTTACTCTGCCCTGTCCGGGTTCCTCTTCTCTGTACCCTGTGACAGCAGTGGCAATCATGGAGATGGATGTCACCAATGATACCGTGGAAGTGCTACCCCAGCACAAGTTGGACATCAGGTGCCTGGAGGCCTACCTGAATCAGCACTTGCCTGGCTTTGGGGCAGATCCCCGGGCTGTGCTGACTGTTACCCAATACAGGTATCTACCATAGCCTTCGCCTCCACCTGGAGCAAGTCTGTGCTTGGTGCTTTTCTGCCTTTGGCCCTGGGTGGGTTTCTCATTTGCCCAGTCGCGATTTCTTTCCCTGAAAGGACGCTTCCTGTGTGGCTTGTCCTTGAATTCCGGGCTAGTCTGAATTGGGCTAGTAGAGGCACAGTGTCCATTATGCAATGCAATCTTGTTAGGACCAAAATCGTGTGCCTAACTCACTGAGATGGATGAAGCTGGACGCTTTGGGAGAAATAGATACCTTCTGTGACCTTTTCTGCTACAATCTAAAGATTATTTTCTGAAGGGCTGGTGCTATTTTGTTGAATTGACTTTAGTCGCCTGCGTCTAGGTTAATGACACCACCTGAAGTACACAGATTCAGACTCTAGCTTTCCACTTAGCCGTATTCAGCACCACGTCAGGCCTAAGTTCTTGAAACAAGGGAATTAAACTGGGTGAGATGTCCCTGGGGGTGCCTGTCCCCACTGACAGGTGAATTTAAGCTGATGTTTTGCAATAGATAGTTTTTCATTTTTATATGGTCCCAGTATAAACCATTTTATATGGTTCCAGTATAAAACCATTTTATATGGGTCCAGTAAACTATGTCTTTCAATCGAGGGATTTAACTGTGACATAAATCCTGAGGCCAAAGTTTCTTTCTTGTAACATTTGCCTGTTCCCATTAGTCTTGATAAGGAAATGAAGTTATGTAGGTGAAAGGGCTTAAACATTGAAATATCTGGGTAGAGGTGGAATAAGAACAGTTGACACTTCTAAAATTAATGCTTTATGCTGTAAACAGATCAAAGTTCAAATTTCAATGGTTAGTCCACATTGTGTGGAATTTGGCCAGCTTCTCCTTTGAACATCCTATCCTGCTTTCGGGTAAAGGTTATATATCTTCAGGCTACTGTGGTCCTGCGTTATTTAAAAATAATTCTGAATTACGTTGATGTTCACCAAAATCATGCTCAATAAATGAAATTAGTTGTGATACAAAAATTACTTCTGAAACCAAGCCTGGTGCTACATAGCTTTAATCCCAACACTTGGAGTCCAAGGAAGGATGATTGTGAATTTGAGGCCAGCATGGGCTATGTAGCAATCCCTGGTCTCAAAAACTATTTTCCAGGCTGGAGAAATGGCTCAGAGGTTAAGAGCACTGGCTGCTCTTCCAGAGGTCCTGAGTTCAATTCCCAGCAACCACATGGTGGCTCACAACCATCAATAGTGAGATCTGGCACACCGTGTACAAAATAAATTAATTAATTAATCTTCAAAAAAAACTATTTCCCCAGAAATGTTATATAAGTTTGGTTTAGTGTATATGTATGGAAGTATGGACTCAACAGAGAAGACACATTCATTTCCTGGACAGATGAAAACATTATAAAAATTTAAAACATACTAGGCCACAAAATTATCAAAAACTCTTTTAAGCTTTGGGCCAGTGGGATGGCTTTCTGATAAAGGTCAGATAAAGGTACCTGCTGCCAAGCCTGACGCCCTGGGGTCAGTCCCTGGAAACCACTTCTTGTAGAAGGAGAGAACTGATTCCTGAAAGTTGTCCTCTGACCTCCACACATGTCCCCTTCCCATAAATAAATATAAAAAGAAAAAAGCACATGTTTTCACAATATAAGTGCAAACTTTTTTAAAAGGACAAAAACAGCCAACAAATACCATGTACAAACTAACCGGTTCATATGTTGGCGAGCCAATGACCTACATGGTAATAGTTTGTTAAGATAAGTATACACACCAGGGGGGGGGGGTGGCGCACCCCTTTAATCCCAGCACTCAGTAGGCAGAGGCAGGTGGATCTCTGTGAGTTCAAGGCCAGCCTGGGCTACAGAATGAGTTCCAGGAAAGGTGCAAAGCTACACAGAGAAACCCTATCTCAAAAAAAAAAAAATTTAAAAAAAAGCTAAGTATACATTTCTATATCTTTAGCAACCATCAAAATATGACATTCAAAAAGCTCTGATAACATTTTTTAAAAACCCAATTACCTAAACACCAGTATAATAGGTGTGCAAGACCTTTGTATAGGACATGACAAAACCTTATTAGGAATTTTTTAAGAAACTTAGAAATTTAGAAATAACATACACGAACAGGAAAAGTCAGTACTGTAAACTTGCTTTTTGTCCCAACTGATCTATAGATTCAAAGCAGTGTCAATCAAAATCCAATTTTTTTTCTCTAATTTGAGAAAAACACTAAGTTTTCTGTGAAAGACCAAAGGGTTAACAGAAACAGTCCTAAAGAAAAACAGTGGGGAATTTGAATTAAGGTGGCATATTATTAGCACACAGGTAATTAAATATATCAGTGAGCTAGAGTTCACAGAAGGCCCACATATTTATAGAACTTACACATCAGGGCTGACACTTGGCATCAGCTTGGGAGAAGTGGGAAGAGCATGGGGAAAAGATCTTTCATGAACTTGTGGTGGAATAATTATTATCCCTATGAAATGTTATTGTGTGTAAGGAAAGGACCACTCAGGCTGTGGGTCTCCCTCAGTAAATAGAGTGCCCCCTAGTGTACATGAAACTACAGGTCAATCCCCAGTGCCACATAAACCAGGAATAGTCTGTGGTGCATACCTGTAGTCCTAGTACTTGGAGACAGGCGATAAGATTAGAGGTTCAAAGTCACCCTTAAACAACTTCACAAAATTGTCTGCTGACCTCCTTATGCATATGGTGGCATACATGTTCACACACATCATATATATGCATGATGTGTGTGTGTGTGTGTGTGTGTGTGTGTGTGTGCATATCCAGCATTGGTTAGGATATAAGACATTAAAGACTCATTAAGGTATGAGTCACTATAACTACTGTTGACCAACCTTTGACATTATCATGTAATGTCAAGAAAATTTTATGCCAGAATATCAGGAAATCAATCTCAGAACATTCATTGTGCTGCTTGTAGTAGAAGAACTTTAAAGCACACTAATATTTATTAGTAGTAAAATGAAAGAATAAATTACTCATTTACATAGTGGACTACCATACGTCAGTGAAAAAGATTCAACCACAACTGTACATAACACATATAAAACAATAGACAGATATAGAGCATATTGCTTAAGGAGGTAAACCTCAAGAGAACAATAAGTACGAAATGCAAAACAGTTATTGAAACTGTTTTGAATTATATGGCAATTTCTTCAAGATAGAATATGGCGTTTGTCTCCAGGTAGTAGTGGCATATGCCTTTAGTCCCAGACAGACCTCTGTTAGTTCAAGGCCAGCCTGGTCGGTCTACAGAGTGAGTTCCAGGACAGGCTCCAAAGTTATACAGAGAAACCCTGTCTCAAAACAACAACAACAAAATAATATGGCTTTTGTTTGCTATAGTTATTCTGTGCCTTCTAGATTTTGTAAACGTTTTTTAGTTATGCAAAACTTTTAACTTTCAAATATTAAGTCACTTTGGGAATATAAAATATCATTAAACAACAATGTAAATGTAGCTTGATAGAATAAAACTTCCGTCTTGTAGCCTCATGCCTAATGTGTGCCTGGCACCGGGGTTGGTCTTCTGCATTCTCCACTCTATGTGAAGCAGACAGACAATAACAAACACAATTTCTGAGTATTATCTGCAGGTTTATGTGTGGTATGGGGGTAGAAAGTGTTGAAGACAAGGCATGCAGGCTGCCTTGAGAAGGTAGTGGTCAGCAAAGACTAGAAGGGGTTGAGGATGAAACCACGGAAGCTTTCTAGACACTGTGGGCCACTGAGGCAAAGGCCAGGGATGGGGAATGTGTGTCATAGGCTGAGAAATCCCGAGCAGTGTGGGCTCAGTACCCTAAGTGGGGCAACAGGAGTCCTGCCGATAGTCATAGTGCTTTTGCCCTTTGCTTTGAGCTGAAGTGGGAAGGAAAGATTAGAGATTTCTGAGGAGAGGAGGAAATAGTTTGTCATCATGGTTGTTTTTAACAGAAACTCTGCTTGCTGTGTTGAGAGTTGACTGAAGAGGGCAAAAGTGAAAACAAAACCAAGTATGTCACGGAGTTCCAGCAGAGACATTTGTGCCACAGACCAGTGTGGTGGGGTAAAATAGGTGAGAGGAGATGTCAGTCTGGGTAGATTTGAAAGAACGATCAATTAGACGTGGGCTAGGAACGGGAGAGATGGGGCTGTTCTGCTTTTGCCATGGTACCTAAGCATGGGGTTATCATGAACTAGAGATGACCATAGAGGGTGTCATGGTTTGATGGGAAACGTCCCTGCAGGCTTATTCCTTTGAGCTCTCGGCCCCTGGCTGCTGGAGCTGCTTCAGTAGTTGGTGGGACTGAGGAAGGCAAATGTAGGCAAAGCTTAACCACTTGGCACGCCACTGGGAGTGCCACCTTTTGAAAAAAACACTTAGCACCTGGGACCCCTACCTGAATCACTTAGCGCCTGGGACCCCTACCTGAATCGAGCTGTGTGTACGTTCTGCTCCAAACAGTGCAGTAGGTCACTCCTGCCTTGGCAACCCTTGGGTAACTAGCATTTTTTTTTTTTTGCTTGGTGTCTATTCAACATGTGTCTTGGAACAGATGGAAAATATTCTGGAACTAGATGCAAAAGGCCAACCTGGTCTGGATTAGTTTGGGAGTTATAAATAGTAAGGCAAATTGTGTCCTCTGAGTAAACTTTTAGGGAAAACTTGTATTTACCATCTTATGTCTGTGCTTGATTAGGCGTGTGTATGAGTAAAATCAGGTTCATCATGGGAAAGGACATTCACAATAACCCAAGCCTGTCAAAGTGGAGAGCTGTCAACAGTATGCCCCTTAGCAACCAACTCTTTCTCCTCCTGGACCCCACAAAAGAAAGCCCCAAACAATAACCACTGCTTTGGGGCACCCTTGCTCAAGTATCCTGATGTTTCCTTGTATTAAACCCTACACCATCTCTTTATATAAAACTTCTTGTGCCTTGACATTGATGTGTGCTTTTTCAGTTCTTTGGATAAGACATCCCAAACCTGGAAACACCCAGACCACTGACAACAGAACCTTTGGATCATGTGGCTTAGCTCATAGAAGTGGGTTGCAGGGTTGGGGGGATGGCATTAGGGGGCAGCACCTTTCCAGGTACTCACTTTGGAGACCAGGCTAGCCTCGAACTCACAGAGATCCACCTGCTTCTGCCTCCCGAGTGCTGGGATTAAAGGTGTGCACCACCACCGCCCCTAAATTGCTTTCGGCAGTCACTTTGGCATAGTGATGAGAAATGGTACTAATACAGAAGGAATACGGAAGTTCTGTTTTGGGAGTTTCAGGGTGGTTCTTAGACACTTAAGTGAATGTGTTAGAGTAACCAGCTGGATATGGTTTCAGGGCAGAGACCTGGTCTAGACATAGCACTTGACAGAGAAGGCATTGGAAGCCACGAGGTAGAAAGGCTTACCTAGAAAAAGAGTCTAAATAAAATGGAAGTTTGCCAATCCAGCCACAGCACCCTAGTAGTAAGAAGTTAAAGAGTTAAAAGGAGGCTACGAAGGAGTTTGAGGAGTGGCGGGG